AGGGCCTTCGCGATGCTTTGTTTTAATTAGACAGTCGAACTTCCTGGTCAGTGCCAGTTCTGAGTTGTCCTTTTAGCGATGGCCACTACACATGATTGCATAAAAGCCGGGACATCCGCTCCGCCGCCCACACACCCAGGCCGACTTTCAGTCCACCCGAAGGCAGAGCTACACGCCGATATCTCAGAGAGGCAGTGGCAGAGCATCCATCCAAGCCTGGCACATCCAGGACCTCAGAGCCAATCCTTTTCCCGAAGTTACGGATCCATTTTGCCGACTTCCCTTACCTACATTAGTTCATCGACTAGAGGCTCTTGACCTTGGATACCTGATGCGGAAATGGGTACGATCCCGGTCGGATGCACTCGTGGCCTCACCCAAATTTCAAGGTCCCAGGAGTAACCACCAACACCGCAGCAAGTGCGGCGCTCTTCGCATAGCCGCTCCATATCTCTCCGTTAAGGAATTCCATGGAGTACGCGAGCTCAAAGAGAAAAGAAAACTCTCCTGGTGGCACCCGAGGGCGTCTTTGGGGCAATTCACGTCGCCGTGACAAGTAAGAGTACCTGAGATACGGTTCCGAACCGGGGCCCCTGAATGCTTACAGGATTCCCTTTCGCCCGAATGGAACCAAAAGGCTCGACATTACTAAAGATTTCTCTTTAGGCTTAGGATCGGCTCACTCGCGAACAAGCACTGTTGTCGCGGAGCCCTTCTCCACATCAGTCCTCCAAGGACTCTCCAGAGTATTTGCTACTACCACCAAGATCTGCACTATGGGCGGCTCCAGGCAGGCTCACGCCCAGACCCTTCTGCGCACACCCACACGACCACCTTACTCATCAATGCTTCAAGAACCCGAAGGCCATTTGCACTGACGGCGGAGTATAAGCGCGACGCTTCAGCGCCATCCATTTCAGGGCTAGTTGCTTCGGCAGGTGAGTTGTTACACACTCCTTAGCGGATTCCAACTTCCATGGCCACCGTCCTGCTGTCATCAGCAACCAACGCCTTTCATGGTTTCCCATCTGCGTCGTCTTAGGCGCTTTAACTCCGCGTTTGGTTCATCCCACAGCGCCAGTTCTGCTTACCAAAATTGGCCCACTAGGCAATCACAATCCGAGGAACTCGTGGCTTCACCGAAGCAAGCCAGAGTTCTCACCCATTTAAAGTTTGAGAATAGGTTGAAGTCGTTTCGACCCCAAGGCCTCTAATCATTCGCTTTACCAGATGAGACTTATAGAATGCCAGCTATCCTGAGGGAAACTTCAGGTGGAACCAGCTACTAGATGGTTCGATTAGTCTTTCGCCCCTATACCCAGCTCTGACAATCGATTTGCACGTCAGAATTGCTGCGGGCCTCCACCAGGGTTTCCCCTGGCTTCACCCTGGCCAGGCATAGGTCACCATCTTTCGGGTACCAACATGTACGCTCAAGGTGCACCACTTCTCAAAGAGAATGTGACGCCCGGGGTTGCGGGTCGGCATGGTAGCGCGGCCATCACCCTGAGAACAAGTAAACTCGTTCCTCACTTTCATTTCGCCTTTAGGTTTCGTAAGCCAATGACTCGCGCACATGTTAACAGGGATCGAAAGCAGAAGTGCCGCAGACCGAGGGACCTTGCCGCGTTGCAAACTGAGCGTCTGCGCGCGGAATGAGGCCCCGTCCGTACAACACCGTCGGGCGCCGGCGGGACACCGCGGGTCGACACTCTCCCGAAGGAAATGAAGACTCCACGCGGGCCTTAGACCGGGCTCCCAACGAGCCGCGACATGCTACTGAGCAGAAGTGCAGCTTCTCCGGGGTACGAGCATGGCCCTCTGTTTCTGATGTTTCGAGGCTGTCTCGATGGCTCTCCCCCAGGATCACCTGAGTCAGATCCGTTCGCACTTTTCGATTCTGTCCGCTTTCATCAGCTCAGTTCACGTACTCTTGAACTCTCTTCAAAGTTCTTTTACCTTCCCTCACGGTACTTGTGTGCTATCGCGTCATGGGTCATATTAGCCTAGATGGAGTCTACCACCCACTTAGGTCTGCACTTTCAGAAACCGACTCTGAGGAGAGCCCACACGAGTCGAATGCTGCTACAAGGGCATATCACCCTCTTTGTGGCCACGTTCAAGTGGACTGAGCGAGCTGCAAACGCCGTGTTAACGGCCACTCTTACGCTTTCAAACCGAGTATCTCACGCAGGAATTAGCGTTAAGGGAGTGTCCGTAAACGGCGTTTGCAGCTCGCTCAAGTCCAACTTGAACGGGGCCACAAAGAGGTGATATGCCCGTGTAGCAGCATGCGGACGTCGTGGGGTCTCCTCAGAGTCGGTTTGCTTGAAGTGCAGACCTAAGTGGGTGGTAGACTCCATCTAAGGCTAAATATGACCACATGACCGATAGCACACAAGTACCGTGAGGGAAAGGTGAAAAGAACTTTGAAGAGAGAGTTCAAGAGTACGTGAAACTGAGCTGATGAAAGCGGACAGAATCGAAAAGTGCGAACGGATCTGACTCAGGTGATCCTGGGGGGAGAGCCATCGAGACAAAGCCTCGGAAACATTCAGAACAGAGGGCCATGCTCGTAACCCCGGGAGAAGCTGCACTTTGCTCAGTAGCATGTCGCGGCTCGTTGGGAGGCCGGTCTAAGGCCCGCGGTGGAGTCTTCATTTTCCTTCGGGAGAGTGTCGACCCGCGGTGTCCGGCCGGCGCCGACGGTGTTGTACGGACGGGGCCTCATTCCGCGCGCAGACGCTCAGTTTGCAACGCGGCAAGGTCCCGTCGGTCTGCGGCACTTCTGCTTTCGATCCCTGTTAACATGTGCGCGAGTCATTGGGCTTACGAAACCTAAAGGCGAAATGAAAGTGAAGGAACGAGTTTACTTGTTCTCAGGGGTGATGGCCGCGCTACCATGCCGACCCGCAACCCCGGGGCGTCACATTCTCTTTGAGAAGTGGTGCACCTTGAGCGTACATGTTGGTACCC